TAAGAGGTAGGTGCTCCTTTCGTCCCATTTTGCAAATAAGGAAACTGAGGCACAAAGGTGGTGTCACTAGCCCAGGGTGGAGCAGGAACCAGTCACCTGCCCTAGGTCACGAGGTGGGGGGAGGGGAAGATGCGCCAGGGGCGCTCCAGATCTGAGCCACCATCACCCACCCTCCCCGCAGGCCTCAGCCTACCTGAAACAGAACAAGTACCAGCAAGCAGAAGAGCTGTACCGAGAGATCCTGAGCCGCGAGGACCTGCCTGCCCCTCTGGGTGAGCCCCCGGCCCCGCCCTTGCCCCCCAGGTGACTGCTCCATGTCCCCACTGCACTGTCCCCTCTGTTCCTAGGAGCCCCCAACACAGGCACAGCTGGTGACGCAGAACAGGTGAGGAGGGAGGATGGGTTTCTTTTGCTCCGGCTCCTGGGGCGGGGACTGGAGGAGAAGGGGGGCACTGACTGGTCCTGGGCGCCCTCCCCAGACCCTTCGTCGGAGCAGCTCCTTCTCCAAGATCCGGGAGTCGCTAAGGCGTGGAAGTGAGAAGCTGGTCTCCCGTCTCCGAGGCGAGGGGGTGGCAGGGGCAGCCGGGTGAGTGTCTGATCCGAGCAGGAAGCTTCTGCAACCCACCCCACTCCCTGTCCTGTTCCAGAACCTTCCACGGTTCCCCTCTCCTACCCATAGTCACATCCGGTGCCAGGCAGGTCTTGCCCGGAGTGGGAGGCAGACACTCGGGGGACTCACCGTGCCACCCTCTCTTCACAGGATGAAGAGAGCCCTGTCGCTCAACATGCTAGACGTGGATGTTCCAAAGGCTGCTGGGCTCCAGGTGAGAGGGGCTGGGGGGCACGCTGGCAGGCCCAGAGGGAGGCGTGGGCAGGGCCAGGCTGGTGTGGGAATGGACCCAAGAACAGAAGGGCCGGGGGAGGGACGGGCCGGGTCCTGCCCCTTGCCCACCCCTCCCCTGCGCCTGTCCGCAGTTCCCCAGTCAGCACCCGGGCGAGGTCTCGCGGACCCTCAGCACCAACACCCAGGACCTGGGCCCCCGCTGAAGGTGACAGGACTGCGTGGCTACAGCTTCTCAGGAAGAATGGGGAAGGGGTGGCCTTTCATCTCCCCAAGTTGCTCCCCACCTCTTGGGGGCACCCACAGTATGGGGCTCCCTGTTCTTCTCCTCTGATTAAAGGCTGTAGATCTGGAAGCCAGGAACGTGTGCCTGAGGTTTCCTGTGAGGACCTGAGGCCACCTCCCAGCCGCTGGGCCCCAGGGCCAGGTGAGCCCCCGGAGTCGCCGCACGCAGCTACGGCCCTGTCCGCACCTTGAGCTACAGCTGCTGGGCAATCTGCTCTATCCTCCGCAGCGTCTCCTCAGATTCCAGCTGCTCCCGGCTGAGCAGGGACAGGCCCAGCTGGTCCTCCTGGAGGAGGGGGAGAGGAGTCAGCTCCGGGGTGGGCCGGACGACTGTAGCGCCTCCCCACAGGCCCTCCCTGGGACAGTGGGGGCCAAGGGGCAGAATGTTTGAATCTAGAAACACCCATCGAATGGGGAACATCCCCCTGGAAGCAGAAGCCAGGCCTGAGGAGGGAGAGGGAAGCCAGCTGCTTTCCCAGATGGAGGACTCTGGCTCTGGCCGCGCCCCTGGCCTGTGGGCACGCGCACACACACCCCTGTGTTGAGGGCAGGCCAGGCCCCCTCTAGCTCACCCGGTGAAATGGCTGAGCCATCTGCCTCAGGAAGTACTTGGCAACCTGGACTCCCTCATCCACAGTCAGGTTGAGGTTGGCGTCGGTGAGGTGCTCCTGGATCCAGCGGGGCAGTTTCCCACGCTTGTCTGCCCGGGCAAACCGCTTTCAGCAGAAGGGCGAGGGAGAGAGGGAAGACATCAGGCCCCCAGCGCGGTGGGGGGGCCGGAGCCCAGGCCTCCTTCCCCATCTAGAAAAGGGGGACAGCCTGGTAGGCAGAGGCCCCTGCACCCGCACCTTATCGGCAAAGACCATGAGGCCGTAGTCTGTCTTGCCCCGGATGGCCCGGCCCACGCACTGGGCCGCATGGCGCATGGCGTCGAAGGTGAGAAAGTCGTTCTCTCGGATCTGGAACTGGTCCCGCAGGTACTCCAGCCGCGCCTGCCCGAGAGAAGAGAGCAGAGCGGTCCCTCCTGTCCCTCCCACATGCCAGCCCAGGCCCGGTCCCTCCGAGCGGCCCCCGGGGCTGCTCACCTTGAGGATGCGGCTCTGCGTGTAGACGTAGGGGACGCCAAACATGATGACCGCGCGCCCGTAATGGTGCACTGGGGGGGCGAGCACAGGAGGGGGGCCGGAGAGAGGGGGAGATCAGGCTGGGGGGGGGGCGGTCCGCTGGGGGAAACAGCCAGAGCCCCATGCAGGCACCTGGGGATGGGGAGAGCCCGGCCCACTCACCAAAGTCGATTCCCTCGGACACTTTGCCCCGGGCCACGGACAGCAGGATGGCTCCACGGCCATTCTCACAGGCCTGGGGAGGGGAGGCCGAGACAGGTGCTAGGTCCCCCAGAGCTGCATCCTCCGGGCCCCCTGCATGCAGTCTCCTGGCCCTCCCCCTGCCCCCCCTTCCCGCGCCCATGCCCACCTCCTGGTACTTCTCCAGGGCGACGCTGGTCTCGGCCCCATCTTGCGTCTCAATGAAGAGGAGCTTATTCCTCTGGATGTTTTCAAGAATGCCCTGGGAAGGACAGCAGGCGGGTCAGGCTGTGGGTTGGCAGGAAGCGGCTTAAGGCACAGGCATCCTGGCTCCGGTCAACTCTGCCCCGGTTCCTGTGCGGCCACCCGCTTCGGTCCCAGGGTCCCAGCGGCCAGCAGAGACTCGGCGGGGGCCGGGGGGGTTGCGGGCCGGTCTCACTCCTGGAGGAAAGCTCTGTGATTCCAGGCACGGAACCCATCCCCGCACCCCATCTTTCGGGCAAGTGGGGCAGGCATATGGCCCAAGATGGCCCACTGGGACACTCCACCCCCCCAGCTGGTGCTTAGTGGAGGGGCTGATGTAGGCCAGGCCGGGGCTGCCCAGAGATTTCCGTGACACTGCACTAGCTTTGTGACAGCAACCAAGGACAGACGCAGGGACAGACCGATGTGACAGAATGGAGCGTCCAGAAACACACTCGCACACCGATGGCTCACCCATACCATTCAGGGGGGACAGTGCTTTCCAGTGAATGGGGCTGCAGCAACTGGAGTTCCATAGGGGGAGACAAAGAACCTTGACCCTGACCTTACACCACACACAAAGATGTGAGGTACCTCACAGACCAGATGTGAAAGCTAACACGAGGCTTCTAGAAGAAACACAGGAGGTGATCTTCAGGACCTTGGGGCAGACAAAGCTTCCTTAAATAGGACATACAAGACTCAGGATGTGGGCTTGGGTGGCCAGCAGCCACCTTTCCCACGGTGTGGAAAGCGCCCATCTGAGGACAAGACCAAGGTCTTGACCAAGTGGACAAGGCTCCCCCACCCCGCTCCCTGGAGTGTGGCTCAGCCAAGTTCTCTCATCTCACCCTAAAGAAGCGCCTGCTTTCACTACCCGAGAGCTGGGCCATGATGCACGAGAAGTGGAGAGGTCACGACGGCCCCCTGCCAGCCCCCCAGGGCCTGGCTGCGGTGAGCCCCATTTCCAGAACACTCTCTGACCTCACCCCTGCACTGTCCCGCAGGGGCTCTTGAGTTTTTAACCTGGATGTGGGGGGAAGGCAGGGGGGACTAAGGTATACACCGTTTGTTCTGTGAACTGTTCGTATATGTTTTATACACTGTCCTGTCACCTATGATACATGTCACCACTTAAAACACGAGACAAATGAAGCCAACACACAGAGGGAGAGAGCCGGGGGCTGAAAAGAGCGGAGCCCCCCCGGGGAGCGGGCGGCTGGGCATACCTGCTCATACCAGGAGGCCACAGTGCTCTCCATGTACTGGTAGCTAGTGAAGAAGGCCACGATGCCGTCAGGGACCACGGCGGACATCTCCAGCAGGAGGTTCCCATAGTTCCGGATCACCGCTGGGGGCGGCGGGGGGGGCGGTCAGAGGTTGTGCGCAGGTCCCGCTCCCCCCATCAGAACTTTCCTATCTAATGCCCCGTCTTGAACTTGGGGTTCCTAGAAATCCCCGAGGCCACCTGGAGGGCTGTTCACACACATTCCACTTGTCTTTCCAGGCCCCTGGGAGGACGGCACCCCCCGCCCACCCCTGGAGTTAGGTGTGACCATGTGACTTGCCCTGGCCAATGAGTGCAGAAGCGGCCGTGGGTCACTTCCGGGTGAACACCTTTATGAGGCACAGCACCATTACCAGGATCCTTCCTGCCACCCCTCACCCTCGTAGTGACGCATCCAGTGGGGAAGGTCCCCAGGAGGAGGAGACACGGGGCAGGCCCCCACCAACCCACGGCGGCACATACTGTGAGCAAGAGGTAACCTCTATGTAACCCCACTTGGACTCGGGGCTATGTGCCAGCTTGCTGCAGCCTGGCCTAGCCCACTGATCCACCCGCCCTCTCAGAACCCATGCAAGCCGCCCCCACGAGCAGCATACCAATATCTTCCCGGGTCTCAAACTTGGAGCTGATGGCCACCTGGTCGTTGCCACGACCAATGATCTGCAGAGAGCGAGAGGCGTCACGCTAAGCAAACGGCAGCACCCACTGCTGGTGCCGGGCTCAGCTTCTTACAGACCCGAGGTCACGGACTGAGCCATCGGCTCCCCTGTTATCTGCACGGCACGGGTGACGACCTCCGGCCCGGAGAAGGTGAGCTGCCTGCCCCAGGGCACGCAGCAAACCCACGGCGGCGGCAGGACTGAGCCCGAGTCTGCGCACGTGGCTGACCAGCAAGCACACGCTCCCGGCCCTGGCGTCCGGGCCCGGCAGTTCCCGGAGAAAGCGTCTCACCACGACCTCAGCAGCCACCAGCCACGGGTGCGCCCCCCTCCCCCACCAGCAACTCCACAGACCACGGTGCAGGACGTGGCCGTCACCAGTCCCCAACCCGTGAAGGGCAATTCCAAAGGCCAAGAAACTCCAGACAGTTCACTTCGGCGCCAACTCCTCCAATAGCAAAACCCGCCCTCACCTGAGTCTGTCCGGAGTCCTGCCTTAGCCGCCTTAGTCTGAAGTCCCAAAACATGCTCCTGCTGAACTAGGACTTCCACTGGCGGGAGCTGCCCCAACCCCGCTGGGAAGGCCACATAGCACACAGCATGTGCTTTGTTTTTTAGTCTGGAAAATTCTCAATTCTAAAATACATCTGGCCCAAGGGATTCAGATAAGGGACGGAGGGCCCACATTATGATGCCTGTTTTACAAAGGAGACTGAGGCAGGGCAGAAGGGTCGTCATCATCAAGGTCACGGCCAGAGGACAAACTAGGCAGAGCCCACGTTAACCAAGACGTTGACTGAGTGCCGACCGGCACCAGGCCCTGGGCCACATAAGCGTTTTATACCCGCCCTCTCACTATCCCCTCAACCACCTGGGAGGTCAGGGAGGCTGCATTCCCATTTTACAGATTAGAAACTGAGGCTTGGGGAGTCACACCCACAGGGAGAGGTACCATCCAGCCCCGATCTGTCTGAATCCAGAGTCTGTGCCCTCGGCTGTAACACTCTCCTGCCTCAACAGCAGGGGGGGGACAGAGGGAGGAAAGGCGGCACACCTCCCCTGGCCCAGCACCCACCCTCTCCCACGCACCATGGGGCAGAGGCAGACCCGGGCCAGCGTCATGGTGAAGGTTGCCAGGGTGACAGGATGGAAGTCCAGAATCTTGGGGTAGATGTCCAGTGGGGACAGGGTCTGCAGCAGGGACAGCAGGAGGGATCTTAGCAGAACTGGGCAGCAACCAGGTGCCTCACACTTGAGGGCTGGGCACTGGGGGCGGAGAAGGGTCCTCACCCCAGATGTGATGATGACAGACTGGAAGCGCTCAAACACAGGTTTGATGGCCAGTGAGGCGTCCATGCAGCTGTAGGAAGCAGACGAGGTGGTGAGGACCACGCTGGTGCCCGCGTGGTCTGTTCACACCCCCAACACTGGGTCGGGTCTCACCTGAAGTGCAGGATGGGGTTGGCAATGGTGGGGGTCCTGTCATCAAAGGGCTCGATGATGATGGTGAAACCTACAAGCGGGTGAGATTCCTGGTCACCAGTCGTTGCCACACCCACCCGGCCACTCTCTCCTGCCCCA